CTTTGTGCTTTGCTATTACATCCAGAAGAACTCGTTTTCGCTTCGCTTGCGGTTAGCTACGCTTACGTTGGCTGGGATAGATTCTCTGTGTGGGCTTTTCAGTTTATCGTTTTTGTGATTCATAAATCCCGCTGATAGAGTGGAAATCGAAGTGGGAACTAGGTCTTACTTTCTATTTTACCTAAAGTTATTGGAGGAATGAATTGAAAATAAAAGAGTGTCCTATAGTTTCCAAACCATCACGATCTCACGTATCGATGTTGTCGATGCTGTTCCCTCTCATCTGGTCGAATCGTCCTTGGCGTTCCTCGTTCTCTTTCGTTCAACATTACACCATTTCCCCACTAGTAACCAGCCCATCCCGTCATCATTTCCATGGAACTCATTTTTTCCTCCTATTTTACATCATTTCCTCATTACATTTCCGTCAGAAATGAGTGAGTGAACTCGTGTACATATCTTTAAACTCAGACGAGCAGTTGAAGTGCTGTCGTGATAGAGGCATTTCGTCTTTCACCAATAATTTATGGCATTTAATGTCGTAGCAGGAAGAAAACTGGTTAACTAAAACCAGTTACCTGACCCATGTGAGGATCTGCCAACTTTTCAGGGAGCGCTCGTGTTTTTGACTAGTAAGAGTCGGTTAGCAAAGTGTGTCTAGAACTTGGACAAAGCACTTAACTGGACTTCACCTCACGAATCGATGCTATTCTTTGAATATCCAAAAAACAGCCAAATTTTCGCATAAATATCACTTAGGCATGAAGGTATTGGCTCAATTAATTGTTTGTTATGATTATCTAGGTATGGTACATTTTTCATTCTTATCAAATCTTAACTTGTGCTAAATCGGTACGGAAGAGACTTACAGCGCGATGTCCAAAGCATTGAAGCTTCTATTCAATAATAAGTCGCTCAACAACTTGTTCTTCTGATTTTTCAGCAAACATGACCTCTACGAGTAATTTAAGGCAATTATCTTCACCAGTGCGATTATATATTAAGATAATAACAAAAAAACGCGAATGAATATAATTCTTGAAATGGCTAATGATTATTTTAAAATCGGGAAAAACTTTATAGTTTGGATTCTCGGCTATCTCTTCGCATATACATTGATTAAAATTATAATTTTCTATTGCATTTCTTTCCAAGATTTTATCTTTCTGAAGTTCGGCTGTGCTTTTCTTTTGCACTTAATTTTCGAAAATAAAGCTATGCCTTTATAAAATTCCATCTAGACCTAGATATGCAGTAAAAAAAAGGTTCAAGGCCGTTTCGCTCATGCTGCTTTTCAGGGCCTTTCAGAAGTCTATTCTTATATCTGATCTTCATATCGTCAGCTACTTCCTCTCAATCCCCATGACATATATACGTGATTTAGCAAGCTATTGATCTCTACAAGTAGTTTAACTAAATGCGATTCTCCGCATCTTTTCTTCTTTGTCATAGGCATTAAATTTGACTTTTTGAGAATCATTGTCAATAGTTTCATGAACAGTTGGTTATTTAAACTAATTATTTATAAGAATACCGACAAACGAACCAGTCTGTCTTATGAATTTATGTGTGAAAGCACTACTTTATATCCCTGCACTTCTTCCTACTTGCGGTGACTTTTATTTTGTTTTTAAGAAGGTTAACAGAAAAGCTGAACCACCTTCCTTACCCCCGCACAAACATTCTCCAGTCATTATGGTCACTGCTTGGTCTCGTTGTTCTTGCGAATTCGTCCACTTGTCATGAAATGTCGCCAGCTGGACTTATTCTATTGTTAGAAGCTAGTCAAATATTCCGGATAGGATTGGCAGCAAGAACTGGTTTCTTTATTCTTTCGATTCATATACAGCGACTATTTCTGCAATTATTGGATTCTGTCATCAAAATCATGTCGCAAGAATTTAATATAAATAATGCAAAAGTGCTCAAAATTGCTTCCTTCTGTCACTTGAGACAAATATCTCTTGTCAGCAGTCCTATTCTTTCCTATTTTGTAAGAAGTTTAATAAATGTATAAGCAGCACA